GCAGCCCCAGCATGGCCCACCCCACCTCTTCCCGCCCCCACTCCACCCCCTTCCCCCAAGCCGCTGTCCCCGCCCCTGCCCCGCCTCTTCCCACCTCTGCTCTGCCCCCATCCCGCCCCCATTCCACCCCTTCCCCCAAGCTCCCGCCACTGCCCTCCCACTTTCAGGCTTCCGCCCCCTCCCCCAAGGGAGGCAGCAGGGCGGGGCAGGCTGGGGCCGGGTCACTCACTGATGCCGGTACCAGGCCCCCCGCTAGCCCACCAGGCCACCCTGGACCCTGTGTCCCCCTGAATCACGGGCCCCCCCAAAGCGCGGGCCCAGGTGGTTGCCTTGGTCCATCCTATGAAGGGGATGGCTCTGCTTAGACCCGTTCTGGGCACCACCAATAATTATACAAACCTGGCACCCTGATCCCAGCCGCCTGTCCCCTCTTGGTCCATTGTCCTGCTCCTGCAGCCCCACGCTGAGCTCACACCTTCCGCCTGCTGGAATTTCCCGATTTTGGGGTTCCTAGCGCCTTTCCAGACTCTCCCTTGCTCTGGGTCGGTCTTGGCCAGCCCATTAATCCCACCCCAGACAGTCACGTGACACCCTCCCTCGGCCCCCAAAGCAGCGTTCGAGCCCTTTCGCCCCCGTGAAGTGGGGCCGATCGCTGGGCAAGTAAGTCAGTGCCACCATGTGTCTCCTTCACCGACATACGACAGGAAATTCCCACGTTGCCACAGGGACACATGCGGACCTGCTGCGGCAGCACCCGGCAAAGTGGTGTCTTTGCCCCGGCAAGATCTGGGGAGAGGATTTTTCCTGAATGAAAATAATAAATTAATTAATGAAGATATCCTATCTCCTAGAACTGGAAGGTCATTGAGTCCAGCCCCCTGCCTTCACTAGCAGGACCAAGTACTGATTTTACCCCAGATCCCTAAGTGGCCCCCTCAAGGATTGAACTCCTAACCCTGGGTTTAGCAGGCCAATGCTCAAACCACTGAGCTATCCCTACCCATCAAAGGCCTCTGGCTGGACCCAACAATTCAGGCACATGACCACCAGCATCACTGACCTCTGGGGTGTTCTCACAACCCCACCTCGAGCGAAGGGGAAATTCCCTGGGAAACCCTCCCCACACTAAAATGCAAAACAGGGCTCGTCCGGGATTTGAACCCGGGACCTCTCGCACCCTAAGCGAGAATCATCCCCCTAGACCAACGAGCCACCCTGGAGCACTTTTCCCAGCTGTTGTGTAGGTGCCACCTCTGCAAAGCAGCAGCCCGGTGATCAGGTTACACTGAGGTCTCGCTACCCGGCAGCACTCGGGGCTGGCTTCTGCCTCATCCCGCCTTCCCGCCTGGGGAGTCTGCAGAGCAGACGGGGAACTGCCAGCTGCGGCTGCAGCCCGGAC